ATTTAATATTTTGATTCTCCCAATATAGGCAGAAATTAATTATTAGATTACCCTAAAAATAATTATAATAACAATTTTATCCATTTCTTTATTATAGTCTTTTCACCTTTTACTTAAAATAGAAAATTTTCACTAAAAAAAAATAAATTCTTCTTTCATTTTACAATAAACGAAAGAAAATTATGTGATTATTTTAATTTTTGATGCAAGATCAAAAACTTCAATAGATAATTTTTTAAAATAGATTTAGGCTATTGGTAAGATTTGATGTTAGCCTATTTAATAACAGGATCACTTATAAAATTTAATCCTCATTCTCTTTAGCTTTAGTAGTAATCTTATGAGTTTCAATTTTGAGAGTGAATCTAATTATTTTAACTAAATATTTATCAAAAATTTAAAATGCAAAGAGAGATTAAATTAAAAGTCAAGATTTTTTTTAATTTTTAATGATTCGAAATAAACTGAAATCAACTAATTTATCCATCGAAAGATAAAGATATCTATATTAGATGAAAGATTCTTTAATTGTAATTATATTCAAAATTAAAAAAAATAGTAAACAAAAATCATGAATAATCTACTGACAAATTAAGAAGCGATTAACAATGAAATTAATCGAAAAAGTAAAATTCAAGCAAAATAAATAGAAATGAAATAAATGCAAAAATAATAGACTAATACTTTTAGAGAAGGCATTATTATGAATTCATTTGTAAGCTGAATAATATAATAAAGAATTCTTTTTCGAATTCATTGAAATCTAAAATCAAAACTTAATTCTAATTCAGATAGAAATAAAATAAAAGAATTTATTTAAATGAATCAAAGATGAATTATATAAACCTTTTTATTTCTATAAAAAAATTTAAATGTATTCTAATAGTAGGGATCAAAATGACAAAAAAAGCTTGAAAATTAATTTCAAATTATTCAAAGACAACTTTTATATTACTGATTATATACAATCGGTATAATGAAAAATTTTTAATAGATAAAAGTTCTACAATTCTTAAATTAAAAATAATAATTTATAATAAAATAATACCACCTAAAAATACGCTTGTTTATTCAATTAAAGTATTAATTAAGAAGAAGTAATAATCTTCTTCACATTATTAAGAATTGTTTTATTTAGTAATTAAATATAACAGTCTTGGTGGGGTTGGGTTTTGGGTTTGGGTTGGGTTTGGGTTTGGGGTTTGGGTTTGGGTTTGGGGTTGGGGTTGGATATTCAATCTAACCATTTCTTCCATTCAATCTAACCATTTCTTCCATCAAGATATCTTGCTTCATCATTATATTTTAATTAAAATAATCAATTTTTTAAACAATTAGATGTAAAATTAAACTTTTACATTCTTTTTTCTTAATATTAAAAATATCAACAACTTTTATTCTAAATCACAAATTGAGTATAGATTATATGTTGTCTCAAATATAATAGTGTTTCTTCTTCCAATAGATGAATTTTACTACACATAATATAGAAATTTATTATTCTATTTTAGATATTTATTTAGTTAATTTCTAAAATAATTTAATTTAATTAGCATAAGATTAAGATTAATAATTTAATGTTATTTAAAATTTGGGTTAAATTGAAAATGTTTAATATTATAATTTAACAATTAATTCTATCTTAATATTTCAAACAATATTTGAATTAAATTTAAATTGAAATCTTTTACGGCTAAATTTAATATTTTGATTCTCCCAATATAGGCAGAAATTAATTATTAGATTACCCTAAAAATAATTATAATAACAATTTTATCCATTTCTTTATTATAGTCTTTTCACCTTTTACTTAAAATAGAAAATTTTCACTAAAAAAAAATAAATTCTTCTTTCATTTTACAATAAACGAAAGAAAATTATGTGATTATTTTAATTTTTGATGCAAGATCAAAAACTTCAATAGATAATTTTTTAAAATAGATTTAGGCTATTGGTAAGATTTGATGTTAGCCTATTTAATAACAGGATCACTTATAAAATTTAATCCTCATTCTCTTTAGCTTTAGTAGTAATCTTATGAGTTTCAATTTTGAGAGTGAATCTAATTATTTTAACTAAATATTTATCAAAAATTTAAAATGCAAAGAGAGATTAAATTAAAAGTCAAGATTTTTTTTAATTTTTAATGATTCGAAATAAACTGAAATCAACTAATTTATCCATCGAAAGATAAAGATATCTATATTAGATGAAAGATTCTTTAATTGTAATTATATTCAAAATTAAAAAAAATAGTAAACAAAAATCATGAATAATCTACTGACA